GCTGGCTGGGTGACCATGAGCTTCTCAAAGGTGAGTGTCTTCTACCTTTTTTCTGTGTTCTTCACAGGAGCGAACACCAGCTCAGAGCAGAACAGGGCTGGGCTTAACAGAGGTGAACAGCACACCAGCTAGGAAGCCACACAGACCAGGGGAAACACACCAGACGTGGATGAAGCTCCAAGGGGAAGTGGCATATAATCCCTCGGGCACATGGAAAGGGCAAGGACTTGGGGCCAAACACCTGAGTTTCAGTCCCACCTCAGCCATTTCTACCTGCTGCATGGTCTTCAGCAATTTGTTTACTCTCTTAGAGCCTCAGTTTTCTGCTCTTTGAGTGGGACAGATGCACACATTACAAGGTTGTTGTGATGATGATTCATTAATTTGAATTAATTTATTTTATCTTCTGAGTTAGTTTCTTTTAAATGAATGGGCTATACATATAGCATCTAACCCAAGACTTGACACGAACTTGGCATTCAAAAACCATTGGTCCTTTCCCCTTCCCCCCAAGTTACAGCTGCTTGTACTGCTTTGCTAAATGGTGTTGGAAAAGTTCAGCTTTCGAATCCACAAATCTACTTTGTAGATCTACAGAACACACAATGCCTGTGCAAATAACCGTATGCTGGCTCTGGGCCCAAGGAGTCATTATTCACTCTTAGAGCCAACAAATGGTTATCTGCACAGGCACCAGAGGAAAGGGAGGCTCCTGCAAGATCCCAGACCAGCCAGAGCAGCTCTGGGCTCCCCTCTCCTCTGCCTCTGCCAGGGTTTCCTTAACCAAAGCCCTTCACACCCCCCTTTTCATGCCAGCTTCTTCCACCAATGCCCCTTGACCTATGACATTAACTGCACCTGGCTGCAGGTGGTCCCAGAGAGAGAAGCCGGGTCAGTTCTTCAGCGGTGACGCCTACCCTGCTGGCAATATTCGTCTAGCTGCCGATCTTCCCAGGATAGCATATCCCCAGTTGCATTTTCAAAATTCCTTCCTGACATGATCCGGGGGTTGGGGGGAGGACTAAGACAGCAGGAGGAAGCAGCATCTGTTTCCCTCCCCCCTCCCGCCCCCCTCTGCATTTACATCCAACACAGACGTCAGTCTGGGTCCAACCGCCAGCCCAGCAGGCTGCTACAGGCCGGGGGAGACATGAAAATACAGGAGCCTGGAGGGGGGAGGTGGAACCGACAGGGAAGGCTGCTTCCTGCATTACAAGACGCACCATTTGTCTAGGAGTCTGGTGCAAAGTGCTGGCAGCCACGATCCTTACACCAGGCACTGGCGGCTCCAGGGGCAGAGGAGAGCTTTGTGTCTCACGCCCTGAGTGAGGCAGACATCAGCGTGCAGAGGGGTCTCCCTCTGCTACAGTCTATGGTACTCCCGAGAAACCAAAATTCAGAGGGTGACATGCTGCCCCAAACCCATCAGCCCAGCCTCCCGTGAAAAGATGGGTTTAGCCCTGCTGGTGTTGATAAGTGGTTAGAGCACCTGAGGGTCTTGGGTTCAATTCCGATCAAGGGCACATACCTCGGTTGCAGGTTCGATCCTCAGCCCTGGCCGGGGTGCATGTGGGAGGCAACCAATGAATTTGTCTCTTTCACATCGATGTTGCTCTCTCTCTCCCTCCCTTCCACTCTCTCTAAAAAAATCAGTGGAAAAAGTATCCTTGGGTAAGGGTTAGCAAAACAAACATACTAACTAACAAACAAACAAAGATGGGAAGAAACAGGTGGTAACACCAGCTACTGAGGGGAATAGATTTCACTGCTGCCACTCACAGCCCCTCACCTCGTCCTGCGGGTCTCCGAGTTCACAAAAACAGTGGCTAAGGTTGGGTGCTGTTTCAGGGGCCTGGAATCGGTCCTGGGCAGGGGGTGGGGAGCAATACAGACCATTCCTAATGCAGCTCCATGGGCCCTCCCCCAACCAACAGACAGCTGCCCTGAGCCCATGCAGCCTGTGATGGCCTGTGGTCATGTTTCTGGAGAGATGAGGCCCATATTCTCACCAACAGGCAGCGGGGGCTTAGGAGTGTGAACACGATCAACCAAATGCATCCATTCGGGGGATTGAAGGCCTGGGGGGTCTGGGGGTTTCTCTGCCCTGCGTTGAGGACAGGGGCTGAAGCAGTGGGGGTGGGGAGAGGAGGGTGGGGGCTTAGCCTGAGTGCAGGAAGGTGCCTGCCTGGAGCTGGGGGGTGGGGGGAAGTGAGAGGAGTGCGCTCCTGAGCAGATGCCTGGGCGGCTCCAGATGGCAGCGGCCTCCCAACAAAAGGACAAGAGCCAGAGGGAAGGAGGAGCACTAAACCGAGGACTGGCTTTTACGAGGCTTCCTGCTAGGAGGGCAGATCAGACTCCCACCTGGAAGCTGCCCAGAGGCTTGCTCAGAAACAGCTATGCAGAGTTTCCAGGGAGACCTGGAACGAACAAGCCGCAGAAAAGACACCGCAGCCCAACCCAAGTGGTCAGCCCTGCGGGTCCCAGGGTGCGCGCGGTGGGGGTCGAATGCAGGTGCTGCACTTGCTTAGACAGGAAACTTCGAGCACCTTCCTTAGTCTTTCTGTATTTCTGTCACAGGAAAATGGGGGTAATGATGGGCCCTCTTTCACCGGGTCGTTGTGAGGAGAATTCTAAGGAAAACACATGTGGAGCACAGCACACAGGGCCTGGTGCTTGGGAAGCACCCACTATGCTGATTATTGTAATGATATTCATCATTCTCCGAAGAAACCTGGGTCAGCGCCCCTTCTCTCAGAACGTACTGTCCCCTCAAACGCCGCATGTCCCTGCTTGGCGTGTTCTCTGCGCTCTTTTTCCTTTTTCAAAGCTTTCTCTGAGCGCCTCCCAGTCCTGGGGCCTCTCATGAGCGGAGCCTCAGACCCGAGGAGGCAGTGTGGTGCCACAGCAAGGAACACAGTCCAGGACTCACGGCATCTAAGTTCCCCCGCGGCCCCAGGTGCTAATGAACGTTGTGTCCTTTTTGAGCCTCGGTGTATTCGATGATGACGCCAGTGCTGCTCACATCACAGAATTGTCGTGAAAGTGAAATGACCCAATGAATGTAAACAGACACGCCGTAAAAATGAAGCTCTGCACCAACACGGGGGTTTGCTGATGAGAGTAAAATGCCGAGAGGTGTGAGGGGAGAACACGTTTGCTCCAGCTGCCAGCAGATGCGCTGCTGGGCAGTGCTGCCTCCCCCATGAGGGGAGGGAGTGGCTCCGGGTTCCTCAGGCAGGGATCTGGATAGGCAAGCGGAGTGTGTGTGCCCAGGGAGGGCGGTGGAGGGGTTGGGGGGTGGGCATAGGGATAGGAAGAAGGGAGGGTACTTGAAAAAGTGCCAAGAGAGGGGGCACAATGACACAAAGCTGGACCGACTCCCAGTTCTGTCACAAACTGGGGGGTCTGTTCCCACACTGTTGTGCACGTCTTTGCATGCCCATTAAAAGAGCCTGGTGGACCACTTTTGCAAGCAGCGTCCTCCAAATACAGCAAAACTAAAGAGTGGGGCCCCTCCCCAGCACGGTCAGTGAGTACATTCACACTCAGAATCCAGTAACAATGACCAGGTGAAAAGCCCTGTGGGCGGATGGGTTTCCCGCTGGTCCTAAAGCCCGGCACTGTTCCACGTCAGCTATGGCCCTCACAGGACCACACAGGGCAGCGGTTCTCAACCTGTGGGCCGCGGCCCCTTTGGCGGTCGAACGACCCTTTCACAGGGGTCGCCTAAGACCATCCTGCCTATCCGATATTTACATGACGATTCATCACAGTAGCAGCATTACAGTGATGAAGTAGCAACGAAGATAACTTTATGGTTGAGTCACATCATAGGAACTGTATTTAAAGGGCCAGAAGGTTGAGAACCACTGACACAGAAGCTACCCTGATAGACAGGTACATCTGAGCTCCTGCTGATATTGCTGCTGATACGATAAGTAACTGTAACTTCCGTTTACTGAACACCTACTATATGGGAGCACTGTGCAGGGCTCTCTATCTGTTTAATCTGAATTTAATCTTGACAACGAGATGTTCATTGTTAACCCCGTTGTACAAGCCAGAAACTCCAGGCCTAGAGTAATGAGAGACTTTCCTGTGGTCACAAAGCAAGTCGAGCTGGATTTGGTCCAGATCCCAAATCCCCGTCATCAGCATTTCTGCTCCCACCTCTCAGCCTCCTTCCCGCAACCTCCCAGCGCCACCTCCAGCTCTTTCTGGGAGAACAGAGTCATCGGAAAGGGAGCTGGGGCGAGAAAGACAAACTGCAAAGAGGCGCAAACTCAACAATACGGAAACCTTCCTCTGTTCAGGCCCCAGGTAGGCGCCCCCCTCAGGTAGACCCCCCAGCCCGCAGCCTCCAGGCCGCGAGTGTGGGGTCCACTGTCAGTGACTCCTTGGTTAGAACTGTAGCCCTCACTTCTTGCACATCCTCCCCTGGCTGAGACTAAAACAGGAGATTCCGGGAGCAGCAGGAAGCACTAACCCAGATGGGAACAACGCAAACCCTGGACAGAGTGTGGCTTCAGCGACCTGGGCCTCAGCCTCTTAGTGCTCCCTGGACAGCTGTCCATCTGCTGGGGCCCAAAGCTCCGCCCAGGGGAGGGGTCCTTAGACTGCCCCCCATATGCTGGGGCTGTCACTCAGGAAGCTCCCAGGTTGTGGAGGCCAGGCTAAGGGGGGAAGGGGTGCAGGACACAAACAAAGCTGTTTCCAGGCTTTTCCATTAAGGTGGGCAGTCGTGACAATGGCAAGCCTAAGCCAGCTGACAGCACCGGATGGGGAATAAGGAGCAAACGCTCTCCCAGGCCAGCCTCCTTGCAAAGGAGAGCCTCGAGGTCTGGCTCTGTGTCCTACTCTGGGGAGAAGGAACACGTCCCCTCGGAAGATTCGGGGGGCCAGGCAAAGAGCCTCCTCTCATCTAAGAGCAGGAGCAAGAGTCAAGAACTGCCCCCACCCTCACCCCTCCCGGACCAGCCCCAGGCCCGAGCCCCACTCACCGTCTCTGCCTCATGCAGCCCCCTTCTCACAGCACCAGAGGCGGCGGCGGGAAGGAAACCTCCAGTGTCCCAAACTGCACATACGTCAATCAACGTCGCAAAGCACACACAAAGAAGACCCCGGGGTCACTCTAGGAAAAAAAAGAACAGGCTTTGTGGTTTGCGGCTCGTCCATCCGCTGGGAAATGACATCTTGGCCCACTTATGTGGGAGATTCTGCGCCACATAACTGCATCTTTGTCCCACGATGCTCAGAGCACTCTGCAGAAGTAGAGAGGTTCTGCCAGGGGCCTGCACGTCAGACCCTGGGGGTGAGGGCATCTCTTCACCTAGAAGATCATTATTATGTCCTGACACCATAATCTGATTGCTGGTTTCCTGTTCACCTAAAGGAGTTAAGGCCTATCTTGAAGAATCCCTCCTCCACCCAGGGGAGAATTTATCCCTAATCATCGCATTCATTTTCTTAGCTTACTTAGGAGAACTATTATGTTTTTCTTCCCCATCTACAGATAATCAAACGAGTTCACCATAAATGATAACACGTTGAAAGGAGAGTTCATTTAGTGTCAGGCAACATGGATTTTAAGTTCTAGCTTGTTATGTCATACTAGAGGCCCGGTGCACGAATTCGTGCACCAGTGGGGTCCCTTGGCCTGGCCTGCGGGATAGGGCTAAAACTGGCTCTCCAACATCCCCTGAGGGGTCCCGGATTTCGAGAGGGCACAGGCTAAGCTGATCGGGGCTGGGGAGGGATGTAAGAGGTTGGCCAGTTGGGAGGGACCTTGGGAGGGCTCCAGGCCATGTCTGGCCCTTCTCCCTCAGTCCCGATCAGCCAGACCCCAGCAGCAAGCTAACCTACAGGTCGGAGCATCTGCCCCCTGGTGGTCAGTGCACGTCATACCAAGCGGTTGAGCGGCCTTAGCATATCATTAGCATATTACACTTTGATTGGTTGAACAGCCAACCGGTCGACTGGACACAGCATATTAGGCTTTTATTTTATAGGATAGGGTGGACCGCTTTCCTACATGTGTCTCAGATTCTTCTCCTGTGCAATGGGGAGAAGGTACAGTAGGGAGGGTCCGACCACTGGGCCTTTAGTGAGGATTCTGCAGGCTCAAGTCCGAGCTCCAGTCCTCCTGGGCAATCATTTCACCTTTCTCAGTACAGATAACATACCCCACTTAATTATTTGCTTTAACATTACAGTGTACCTGCAGGAAATGATAAAATTCACCTTTGTAGAGGGGAGCATGGCATTATCTAGCAAAATAAGTATGCACTTACTTGTTGACCCAGAAATCCTGGTTCTAGAAATCTATTTGAAATATATACTATATGTTTCTGTTGTAATCTCCAGGATTATTGTTAAGTGGGAAAAAAAAAGGAAAAAGTGTGTTTAATATGCTTACATTTATTTAAGAAAAGGGGGAAGAAAAAACGTATATATGTATTTGCTTATAGCTTTAATAAGACAATGAAAGGTAAAGCATAAAATAAATTTAAAAGGCCTATAGGGAGGGGTATGAATGAGGTGGAGGGGACAGGGAGAGAAGCTGGATATTCCTTGTTTTGTGGATTTGTTTGGAATGTGTATCTGATATAATTATAAAATAAAATTAATATTTTTAAAAGAAATCTCTAAAATAAAAAGCAAGAAACGAGACCATGTGGCCAACTGGTTGTTACAATTACACACACAGAAACTAAAACACAGTAATTGGACTGCACATCCTTGGAGGCAAATGCCATACGGATAAAAAGAACTGCCCCCTCTCCCCAGTCTTAAGCTGTTTTCAATAATGCATTGATGATATTATGATATTATTATTATTGAGACTTCTGTATGTGATTTTGGGATAAATTAAATCTATAATAATAAAAGGGTAATATGCTAATTAGACCGACATCCTTCCGGATGTCCTTCCTTCCAGACAAAGCTGCAGGGGGGGCGGGGGGGGGGGGGAAGGCCTTTGCATGATATTTGTGCATCAGGCCTCTAGTGAGTAATAATATTGGTGTTGCTGAGAAATAAGAGTTTCTTACTGAAAGAAGATGCAAATGTAGGATTGATGAGATCAGGCAAAAATTCTGTAGCCCTGATTGTGAACTGGAAGTATCAGTATGTTCTCTCTCTCTCTCTCTCTCTCACACACACACACACACACACACACACACACACACATACACACACTCTTCCTAGCTCTGTAAGGCCTAGAAACAAGGATTATTCTAGTAGAAATAATGAACACCCCTATTAATCAGATTATAATTACCATCCCCCACAAAGAAATCAGGCTTCCTTGGAGAAACAGCTGATGCAATAAATGTACAACATGAACCTAGAACATCTTGTCACCAAACAAGTGTCAAAGACTACTACAGTCATGCCGAGAGGACCCAGAGCCAGCCAGACGAAGGCTTCCCTGGTCAAGCTGAGCATCAATGAGGATCATAACTGCAATAGAATGAAGCTTAACAAATGCGTTTAAATCTTACAAATCCCTAATAATATTTTTAAAACTCCAAACAACTCATGAGTCATCTTGTGGAGATGTTAGGGAAATAGTTCATTATTTTGAAAATAGTTCATGGTTGAATAAAGAAAAAAAAAAGGAGTGGGTAAGGGTATAGCTGAGATGAGACTGGCCTTGGACCAATAATGGGTACACTGGGTTCACTATATTATTCTCTCTTCTTTGGTAAAACATTTTTAAAATGTTTTGAAATCATTAGAATGCTAATTCTTGCATAGTCATTTAATCTGGATGATGCTGCCATCAATCCAGGATGATGACAAAGGATATTGAGATTACTGTCCCCAGTTTGCACTGGAGGGAAATGGTGTAAAGAATCCATTGAGCCAGGATTCAATCCCACATGTTCTTACCTCCAAAGGCCACTATTTCACCATTGCCTTTTCAATATCCTCATTTGTACATCTGGGTTAATAAAACTTTCTCTGCCTCTAGGACAGTGTTGAAGGATTGCCATGAGATAATGGATGGGAAAGGACTTGGGAAACAATTCTTTGTACATATATTTACGATTATTTGAAAATTGGGGATCAGATCCGTCCTTTGGGGTTGCTGTGAGAATCAAATGGGAGCTATGATTTGCAGGAAGACAGACAGACAGACAGAAAGAGAGCCCTTAAAGATGAGTGAGATTACCATCACCACCAATACTTTTAGGGGCTAAATGAACCCAGGGTATGGACCAGGGGAGGGTAACCCCTGGCACGTGTGCCAAACATGGCACGCCAGTAACTTTTGCTGGCACGCGAAACCCTCTCTTATAATCTTCCATTTACAATTGTGAATCTTTGTTCTCAGTGATGAATTTTGTTAAGTCTCATAATAGGAGTAGCCTGACGGATGAAAACAGTAGCTTGTGCATATCTCTGAAGGTCACGAAATGTAAACCTGATATAAAATCTCTGTCATCAGTGATGCAGCAGCAAAAGTCCCACTGATAATATCAAACGGAGTCATAAAGGTTTCTGTCGGACTCTCAGTGTACATGTATACATTAAAAAATAAATATTTTTCATCACCATATACTGTGTTTTTGTCACTCGAATGAATTTTATTATTTCTTCAAGGTTCTTCACATACGTACACCTTAAGAGATATCAAGTAGGCGTAACACGTTCTCAAAAAATTAGGGTTGGCACGCAGAAGAATTTTGAGTCAGAGATTTTGCTGGTTTTGGCACGCACTCACAAAAAGGTTGCCCACCCCTGGTAGAGACCCTCCATCTGACCCAGGGATTGGAAGGTTCCAGGAAGGATGCTGGATGCTCTGGGGAGAAACAGGGATCCAGCCAGATCCCTGATATCCTGAAGGCTGCGAGAAGAGCAGCTCTTAGTCACAGACAGGTGGGGACCGGGGCCAGGTTGCTGGGCACCTTGGGCACTGCCCGTAGATTCCAGAGGCCAGACACCTACTGGGTTCCTCTGAATGAGGCCTGGGCGGGAGGGCAGGTATGGCGGGGAAGGTGCTCACCACGGACAAGAAGAGGCACGGCACGTCAGCCTGACCCCAGCAAGGAGTGCTGGGCTGCTCACCAGCCCCCAAGCTGTTCCTCAGTGCTCACAGCTAATGTCTGCCTGGGAGTATTTACAGATTTCTTCTCAGCAAATGTTGTTCTCAGATTGTTTTTCCCTCTGCCACACGATAAAGCGGGTCTGGGGGATCTCTAACCCAGGGGTGGAGAGCGTCTGGTCCGCAGGGCGTATAAGACCCCCTAAATGGTTTGGTCGGCCCTGCCGAGGCATTAGGGGTGAGTTAATTAAATGTTTGTCTAAGTACAGCAGGCTAATTTTTAAGCTGATCATTTTGTATGGCCCTCGATTGGTGTCATAAATACCCAAATGGCCTTGGCAGGAAAAAGATTCCCCACCCCTGATCTAGCACCTTTCCTCTGTGAAATCCTTTGATTCTATCTGCGCATATTTCTGAAGAAGTACAAAACTGAACTCCTCCTGGGCCCTGGGTCTTGTGCTTCTGCCCCTGGATATCCAGCCTGTGCTCAGGGAACAAAGACTTCAAAGGAAGACCCATTCTCTCTCTCTCTCTCTCTCTCTCTCTCTCTCTCTCTCTCTCTCTCTCTCTCTCTCTCTCTCTCTTCTTACCTAAGCATTTAAAAATAATTTTACTTGTTTTTTTTTAAGAGTTAATCTCTTCACATGATATGAAACTCAAAAGATACAAATGCCTACGCAGTACAAGTTTCTATAAGTGAATTTCCCTCCCAAACCTGACCATGCTTCCCAGTCCCACCCAGCCCGCTCCCCGCCAGCCACTGTTACCAGGTTCTGGTGTGTCCTCCCAGAGACGTCTACGCATACAGCGGTGCATTTAAATAACTACAGCATACATGTCCAGGGCTTGCAGCGGACAACCGCACAACACTGACGGAAGAATCAGGGATCTAAATAACTGGAGGGACAGACTGCGTTCATGGAGTAGAAGACTCAACATAGGAAATATGCAAATTCCCCCCAAATGGATATAGCTGAATGCAACCTCTATCAAAATCACAGCAACATTTTGAGTAGCTATAGATTATTCTAAAATAAAAACAGGAGAACCCGGCCGGCATGGCTCAGTCGTTGAGCGCTGAC